CTGCCCGGGGCCCGCAGGCCCCGCAGGCGCCTCTCCTGGTTGGCGTGCTGCAGGCGCAGGCGGCAGAGCAGCACCTGCCAGAAGGCCGCGCGGAACTGCCGCGAGGACACGTTGTACAGCAGCGGGTTGATGACCGAGCTCAGGTAGAAGCAGGTGTCCGAGAAGGGCAGGAGGGTCATGTACGTCTGGAAGTAGGTCTTCGTCCAGTCGTACTTGGGCCTGGAGGCAGCCATGATCCGCCGCACCTGGTTAGGCATCCAGCAGACGGCCAAGGTCGCGACGATCAGCCCTGAGCGGGGGAGACAAAAATCCAGCATGAGAACATCAGAAAAACCCACGGAATACTTACCCCACCCCAGTCTGTGCTCGTTGGCCAGGAAATACCAATTTTTCAGTGTTGCATTTGACAGCTTTGCAAAAAAGTATTTAACACCGTTTCAGGGCTGGTGTAGTTGACTGTAATAAAGGCCATTAAATACTTTAGACACTTTATTTATACCTGTTAATGCCTGTTCATTTTAAAAACTGTTTTCATTGTTGTTTATGTATCCAGAAAGAATTTTATGTAGTCCTGTTAATCTCGTTATGTCTGTTTTTTTTTAATAGATATATACATGTATACAGTATAGCCATATCAGATGAAACAACATTTGCATTTTAAAGACCGTCCCCATAAAGAAGACCCAGTGATATCTTCAAGACAAATGGAAGTGGTAACAAAGAAGCCTATTTAGTGACACTGATCTTGCATTCAGTTTCTGGAGACTAGCCTGTCACTGAGAATGGTGTTTGTTTGTTTACATTCATTTACTAGGTTTGCAAACCTGTAATTATAATGCTCATATCTGCAACAGTGCTTCTATTTCTTATGTTTTTAAATAAGACAATTATCCAAGCAGAATGGAAACTTCAAGTTCAGCCAGTAGATGCTCATTGCCCGTGTGGCACTGAGCTGCAGTGTCAACAGCCCAGGAATGATCAGGCTCTAAAGACATCACCCAGTGGCCTCGCTGCAGAGCAAAAGCTGACTATGTGGGCGTATGTTTGCATGCCCACACATCTGCATTCCAGCTTAAACAATCACCACTATTTCTGTGACTTCTGACAGAAGAATATTCTATTAGGCCACAGACAACTGATATCACAAGTTTCATGAGCATGTATTGTACAGTGACACCCCCCCCAAAAAAAAAAAAAGAAAACCCAAGAGATGTCAGATCAGAAGTCAGCAGCGCATTTGCTCTCTTCTCTCAGGGAAGGGGGTAGGGGAGTAGCCAAGGGACCAGAATGGAAGTGAGCAGAGCTGATAGCTTAAAGTTACGTTTTGGATTTCCAGAAATGCTTCATCCATATAAGGAAAAATAATCACATTTTCAACCCTCTAATTTTCTAGGAAACCACAGGGAAGCAGGTATTGGCAATGGTCCCTTCCTGCCTCTGATCGACGGTAAATATTAATAGATGCTTCAGGATAAACAGCCATGTTTATGGATCCAGGGCGTGTCCTCCTGCATGCACATACCTGGGCATCCCTTGGCCTATGGCAGAGTGACCCTAGGTGTGTTCTCTGGCACTGAAGTAACCCAGCTCCCCCACTAACAAACTGCCATAAATCCCAGCGTTGGCAAAGAGGGCTCTAGGAACTCTGCTCCCCTGTTAATTTCCAAGGTTTCTCCTGTCAAATCTCAGCCCCAGCTTGAAATACAACCCAATTTGTTTATTCCTTTCCTTTGAATTTGCTACCCTGAGAACACTCAGTAAATCTAAAAATAAAGCAGGCAAAGTTACATGTTGATATGATGAAAAGGCAGAAAAGAGCACCTTAAGTCAAGAGTCTATTCTGAACCACCTAGTTACAGCTGCTGGCTAGGATCACAAATCAACATCTTTCTGATTTAAAAAATAAATACTTTCAGAGGAAACTGGGGTTTTTTTCACTGTTTTCAGAAGCATGGTGCTTCCAGCCACTGTGCTATTCCAAGTGTGTTCTTAAGTCATGTCTTGTTTTTATCTCAGGCAGCTCTGACTGAAAGGACCGCCTCTGAAGGTGCTGGGACACTCGCCACACCTGGGGGGCTATGTCCTCACAAAGTTTTAACTCTTTCTCTTCCCTGCCAGTGCATTTCAGAGGACAAGTCCGACCACCTTCACCCGAGGGCTGATTTCCTAGAATATGGGAACAGCACGGGGTTTGGGTAAGCGCTACGCTGCACTGTAGGAGGTTGGACCCAGGTGGTAGGAATCTGGAAAGGCGCTGAGAACCACCTGCACTCGCCAGGCTTGAACACAGGCACAGCTTTTAGAGCCAGCAGGAGACAGTGAGTGAGAAAAGGCGGCGGGGCTGGGGCAGGTGGAGAGAAGTTATGAAAGTGCTCTCCTGGCCTGTGTTTGCTCCTGTTGTGTTCATCTCTTATTTGCATGACCCTTGTTTTTCTGTGACCTTCACCTGGCATCAGATGTCCTTGACTGACCATCCCATCAGAAGACGCAGAGTTCAGTGAAAAACCAGACCCCACATCCTGGTATGAGACAAGGGGCAGGGGCCGATGTAGTTTTAGCCAGGACGGAATTCTTGCTCAGAAATCGGAATGAGCTTAAGGAGGTAAGTGAGAAATACCTTAGTCCAAACAAGTGGCAGAACATAGGGAACCAGGCCAGGGAAATCTTGGCTTTCTGGCTGTGGAAGGAGGTAGATATGACTCCAAATGCAAACATGGAGACCGAGAGAGAGAAGGAGCTGAGTTGGAAATGGACCAGGATTAAAGATTAGACATCGGACAGGTCTTGAGATATAACCAAGAATAATGCCAAATATTTAATGAGTTTTCCTATGTACCCCTCACTTCTGATACCCTGGTAATATCAAAGTTATCTTCACTTTACAGATGAAGGTGAGTCTCAGATTAGCTGCCCATGTGCTATATCTAGGACACATGCTTGCCGAACTTCAAAATCCAAGAGAAGCACTTGTTTCTCAAATATCCAGTTTGAAAAATACATAAACACAAGCCATGATTCTACCATGGAAAGTACATGTAAAGCGGTACTGTCAACTAGAAACAATGTAAGCCTCATGTAATTTAAAAATTTCAAGTAGCCACATTCAAAAAGTAAAAAGAGGCAGGGGAAATCAAGTTAGTATCAGCTTCTGTCATCTAGTATACCACCAATATATTCATTTCACATGCACTTTCAACATACGATCAACCCAGTGTTATTTATGAGATGTTTTATGTGTGTTTTTTTAATACTAAGTCTTTGAAACCCAGTGTGGCTTCTACCCTTACAGCACATTTCAATTAGGAGCAGCCACAGGTGGCTAGTGGCTATAGCACAGGCTAAAGGACTCCTTCGTATCCCCTTCTCAAAATAGCAAGGCCCCCTATAGCCTCCTAGTCCCATTTCCCCCACTGCCCCCTTCCCAGCCACATACCCAGAGAGGCCTGCATCATCCTCAGATTCTGACAATACAGCTGAGGTCCAGTCCTGACCTTATTTCCGAGTACACATTCCCAGCCATGGCGTAGACACGTTTTATCCAGTCCTTTCACATAAAGCCTTCCACAGGAGGGGCCTACACATGGTCTAGAACCTAGATGATGATGAACGCACACGTTTCTAGTTTTCATTCCTTGTTCTAAACCTTGCCTAGTCATTTCGTAATAATGGAGACTGTGCCAAGTACCTGGCAAGGATGTTGGAATATGCTTCCTCTGCCTCACCTAGAGGTGGGGAAATGGCTGGTATCTTTCCTCCTGGGCTTTGAAGGGTAATTTTGTTCTAGGAAAATGGAGCGTGAAGCATATAGGTACAGCCAGGATCATACGAGAGGTGTGTGCCCCTGGGCAATGTAACGGAGGTTAGCCTCTGCTGGGGGGAAGGAGACCAAACCAGCATCCTTGTAAAATTTGTCATTTTATAAGGGCAGGTAATTGCTCACTTTTACATTTGAAAAGAGAGTTCATTATTTTACATGACACATTGTTGAGAATAAACATCACATCCAAAGGTGTTTTTATTCTTGCTGTTGGCAACTGTTCCGGCTCCAGTCCCAGCTACTCTGTGGCTGAGACAAAGCTTGAAAGTGTTACTCCGGCCTTAATAGAGCATATTAAAGACTTGACTAAGTTCGCATGTGGCTGCAATCAATCTGGACTGTATATTACACTTGGAAAAATCTATAGCGCTTTGGTCTGTGTGATGTAATGTGCAGCCTGCAGTTAAATAACTTGAGTGAACCTGAATGAAGATCAGTGACCTGAACCCAGTCATGTAAAGTAGGGAAACAGTTTTAACTGAGTTATTGATAGATCTGTATTGTACTTCAGACAGCCTTGCACTCTGGCTTAAGAAATACCTTCATGTTTTATATTTTTTCACATAAAGTACTTCCATTTTTCCTCTCTGATCACTACACCAAAATGACAAGAGCCATTAGATGGTGACACAGATTTGTTCTCGGCAGAGCAAGGTTGTTTAAAAAACAAGTAATGCAGACGTGCAACAGCATCCCGTCCCGGGGCCTGACATTTGGGCAGCGGTCGAGCCAGCCTGCTCCGATTCGTTCTCAGAAGTGCAGTAAGCTGCCCGCCGGAGCCCCGTGGGCATTCCCACGCCTGACCGGGCTCCAACCTTTCAAATGAAGGCAGCTCTGAGTGTGCACCAAACCCCTCAGCGCCATCAAGAACGGGAAACGGAGGAGACCCCGCACAACTCCCTTGTCCCACAGGTGTCGGAGCCGAGGCGAAGGGATTCACTTGGAACCTCAAGGTCGGGCAGGATGCTCCTGAACTTGCTGTCCTGCTCACAACACTGGTTCTACCCTGAATTGACAAACAGGCCTTATCACATTGAAGTGCAGTTTTTTTTCAGTTTTAGGCTCAAGCGCTGACTGTTCATAGCATGGAAAGCAGTGAGAAGCAGGACCATTTCAGGCCTCAGTGAAACTCGCACATTTTCTCTATTCTGTCTGGACTGTCTTAGAACCAGGTCCCTTGAGAACAGGCCCGTGACAGCTCAGGAGCGCAAGTGTCCCCCACCCCCACCCTTTATTGAAGTCTAGTCAAAGGGAGCTAAAGAATGTCCAGAAAGCAAAATATGACCACAGGTCATGACTTGGTGACCGAACCTACAAGGACTATCCATCCATCTACCTGCCCATTCATCCGTCTGTCTGTCCATCCATCCATGTATCTTATATAAGCACTTGCTAGAAAAGGGTACTTAGCTGGAACTAAGCAGAAACCATCTGGACGTTTGATCTTTCCCCGAGCAAAGATATTTTGTGTG